CAATGTAGGTTAGGTTGGGATATAGCAATTAAACCACACTTATAGATCCTCACATATCCTTTGCCAGAACTTCTGAACTGGGGCGCAGTACCATATGGCATGCATGTAGTTCTCCACAAATTCACCTGAGCAGTGGGTGCATACCATAGGTTTGAGTGGATAAGGCCCATTTGGAACATCCTTTGTCCTGTATAATGAGTTCTATGCAGAGTTTTGTATTGTATAAGCTGTAAGTTCGGGTTTTTAGTCATTTTGAAGGTGTTTAAACATATTTTTTTCCAAAAGTTTTCATCTGAATCGATGGATAGATCTTGCTCCCATTTTGAGATTTTTTTTTTCGACAAATCCTACAGTATGAATAGAATACTTTTGACATGTTTTTTCATCTTGGTTTTACAGGTGCATTTATGTAACGAAATGAAAACTCAAATACTCAAATATTAGCATAGAACAATATGTCCCATAATGGTTAAGAACATGAGCTTGTGAATCTAAAGTTACCCATTCCAGTCCTACTACAACTCTGAGAAGAACCTCAGTGTGTCTACTTCATGTATGAATGGATAACACTTATTTAACCCTTACATAGCTACGTCTACTGAATGACTAAAACGTAATAGTGCGACAGCTTGGTTGAGAACTGCCCAAATGCATCATGGTACTGCATTGGGATCAGGATTAGCATTGTCTCTGCGATCATCAGCTCCAGAGCCTCTTAGCCAGGAAGCCCTATTGCCACCAGTGATATACTGCTGTGTATCCTCCAGGGAGACATATCACTCTAGATGGCCTACTGACAATCTGGCAAGCACCAAATGTCCCAGTACACTTCAACCAGCAAGTTGAAAATTAAACTCAGAGCTCATATGAAAAATGAACTTTCCAGAAAAAAAAACTTGGACAGCTACTCCTCTAATTTCTGCACTGATGGCAGCAACAAGAGGTTGCCAGTAATTAATTAGCCCCTGCAGCATTTCCATACTGCTTAGGTCCAGAAGCTGTAATTATTCCTGCCTTAATCTAGAAGATATTTGTAGTCTGAGAGCACTTATACATGATCAATGCTATCTCAGCGTGCAGAAACATAAACATCCATGGCTGCTCTACAGAACATACCCATGTATCTAAGATGACGAGATCTGTGCTGTAGAAGAACGGTCAGATCATACCACACACTGCATCATATTACACTCTGTGTCATACAGCCAAAACATTAGCTAAGGACACTACAGAAACACCAGCTGTCTCAAGTTATACTATGTGGGCATCTGTGTGAGCATAGAGGCGCACAGGTGTGAGGCGCACGTGTGGGTTTACCCAGGGCAGGCTCCAGCATGTCGGCCCCATTGCGCCGCTCCTGACCAGCCTCAGTATTGCTTTGGAGGGCCTGTCTCAGTGTGTTCACCCAGTCCTCCATCTCTGTCTCACTATCTGCCGCCAGAATGTGGCTGTAGCGGTCCTGCATCTTCAGCTCAAAGCCGTTCCGGCGCATTTTTGGACACTTTGGGGGAAGAGTGGGGGGGTACAGTGTGTTGTTGATAAACTCAAACAACAACACTGAATACAATCTTACGTACTTAGAATCTCCTGATCTATTCCTCTGCTGTTATAAACATTTCATAATCACAAGCTGTGTTTCTTCTTTAACTGATGCACATTACGGTATAGAACAATAACAGAGTTTTAGACACTTTTTTTACTACTCATTAAGCTATGCCATTCAAACACTGCACTCCACTCCAAAAGAATAAGACAGGAATTCTACTGCAATTTTGTAATTACACTTCTTCCAGACAGTACTGATGACAATTGGGGGGGGGGGGTTATGGCAAGTTATGTGTATGCAAAGTTTGCTGATTCCTCATTGTATTTTTCTACTACAAATCGTGTTAAGCCTTTTCACGTTAACCATATCGATTCATAAGGTGCATTATCAGCTGGGTCCGAATTAACTTCTGGTTTGGTCCACATCCGGACCGCGGGCTGGACTTTGAGAACCCCGGCTCTATACCCTTAAGCTAAGAAAAAGAACAAGAACTGACTTTCTGAACTGACTTCTGTTGATTTTTCCTCTTTTCAATAATGAATCTGAGCAATATTTCTCCTAATCTTTTTAGGAAACAGAGGATCTGAGGGACGAGCAAAAATGTACCTGGACAACATCGATGCAGGAGTCCAGGTAGATGGATCCTTTTGTCTCCTTGTAGTTTTTTTCATCCTTGTAAAAGTTGAGAATGTAGGAGCCGTCTGGAAGCTGAGACAGGTAGAAATATCTTCTCTTGAACACCTGCGGGCATATGTTACATGCTGGTATCAGTTTGGTCTTCAGAGCTTCTGGTATGGAGCTAATACTTATCGCGAGATCTTGGCATCTTTGAGTCTATGCACTCTTGCGTCTATGCGTCTTAAAAATTCTTGGTGAAAGTCACATACATGGATGTGGGAAAAAGTCTCCAAATAATTTGGTGAATTTTCCAACTGCCATGAATTTTCCTTGAGAGTGTCTGGCTGCTGGATGAATTCAGCACACAGTGCTTTCACTTCTTCAATTCTTCCATTTTCATTTCTTTACACCACACGGTTGCTGAATATACTCATGCTTCTTTTGAAGCTTAATTTTAAACATTTAAGGGGTTCTTGTTCAGAGCTATTCGGAAACCCAAATTAATCTCAATGTGTAATGAGGCTACTTACATTCTGTCAATAATATGATTGATTACTTTGTTGTTCTAATACCTGGATGTTAAGAAGCCCTGTGATATAGGGTATGCCGCAGTACAAACACCAACAGGAAATACATCAAAACAATGACAGTGTGCTTGGGAAGAGAAAGGTTGGGTTGGTGGAGGAGTGGGGTCACTCACCCGCATGGAGACAGACAAGCTGCTGTTGATGTTAGCCTTCTGTAGCCAGCCTTGTTTCATGATGCCCCCCTTCTGGGAGCAGATTGAGGCGGAATCCTAGCAACAATAAGCTGTTTTGATTAGTAGTGCACTTATGTGGATACCAATATTCAAGTTAGAGGGGGGATTACATGAAACCTGCCATCCTTAAATACACACTGTGGGCCATATATAACCAGCTCAAAGGATGAAATGCTGAACCTTCTTTCTAAGTGGGGAACATGCATATAAACCCCTCGTGCACCACTACCAATACAGGCTCAATGCAATCATCTCCATTATTTTAGTAGTTATTGCTTTAGCTCTGGTGCTGTTAACTTTAAATATTTGAAAAGATTAATAAATTAAAAAAATATTGGCAGGCATTACAGTGCAAAGCATGGTCAAATCCTCTGGGTATCAGTGACTGCTAGTAGTCAAATAAGCTCTGTGACCGGGGTCTTTATTGCATGCCGGAAGGACCCGGAACACTGACTGGCATTCGCCTGATTGTGGTGACAGTGCACCTGTTCGTACTGATGCTGGAAGCCAACACCTACGGTGGCCGAGAAAGCCCAATGTAATTAAAAATAAAGAAACGCACGTCTAATAGAAAAACGTGCTCCAAAGCAACAAAGCATAGTATTCAAGTTCATACCGAGCCTGCAAACACACTGCAAATTCATAGACGCTACACAAATTAAGAAAACACTTTAATCAAAATGACAACACATGCGAACCAGATTTTACACACGCACAGCACATTTACAGACGCGCCGCAATACAGAAAACAACCGCAAATTCGGAAACGCGCCGCAAATAGCAACAACACAACGGAACTGTTTCCGGAGGACACTTTGTACGGGTGGTCACATACTTGAAATAATGTTTGTAACGTAAACGTTAAAACTTTGCTATTGATCTGGCAAACTGCATGGTTTTAAGTTACAGTAAACAATCAGTGGCAGTTGTTTTTAAGATTAACCTGTGTAGCTCTCTGATCAATTAGAGGCTATAGTACAAGCAGTTATCAGTCACATTAATCCTACCATTTACCACACAGCCTCTTGATTATTATAGCAATCTGTTGAAATAGAACATACAGTGGAAACCGGTTACAGTGATCGTCTGTCTGGGTGAAATTGACTATAAGCGGATGATCATTATAACATTATTTTCTTCCTTATGTCTCAGGCAGATTACCATCTAACTGACATGTATATTTCTTACACGAATATACATCTACATTTACATTTACAGCATTTGGCAGACGCCCTTAGCCAGAGCGACTTACATAAGTGCTTTAAGACTCCCGAATTTTTCCCGATACTAGCTCAGTAAAAACCAAGGCTATGAATACCATCGATCTAATACTCTGTTGGAAAAGT